TGCAGAGGTTCCATGGTGTAGTTCAGGGCCAAAGCTTTTCAGGACAAGGGGAAGCTGCCAACCAATGCTGAATCACGGAGCCCTTAGAATCTAGATGCTCACAAGAGGGTCTTCTTAGATATTTGAAAACACTAAATTTTTATGACACTTTACAATATTATTAAAGATAGAAAAAAAGTTGTTATTCAGTATCCACCCAATAAATAAATCCTGAGCTCTTGCCGAGGGCCAGATACTATGTGTTGACATACATTGTCCCTTCCACGTGGCTCAAATTGAAGCAAGGAAATGGAGCATAAGCAATTGAGTATAACACAAAGTGACGAGTGCTCTAGATAAGTCTTTCCCATCCTTTTGACTTAGAAGGAGTTTATATCTGACAGTTTTAGTGACACTATATCTTTTAGGGCAATTTCCTTATGCTAGGATGGTTTGCTTTCCACAAATTACTCCTTTAATCCTTACAAGAACATTGGTGTTGTGAGCATGCTTATGCTCATATTGCAGGCAAGGGAACTGAGGCTTAAAGAAGAGGGGCATGTCTTGTCATCTGCCAAATGACAAGGCTGCAATTTAAACTAGGGTTTTTGTTATTCTCAACCACAGGCGTGTGCTCTCAATGGTGCGTCCTGGCTGTGATCCTCTTGGAGGATATATTTAAGTTTGGACACTAGAGGGCGCAAAGATAGCAGAATGGTGGGAGTCATTTGCCTTGGGCTCCCACTAGACAACCACAACAAATTGATCTTCCTAAGTGCATCTTTGAAGGTGGGTTAACTACTAGTGCAGTGTTGAGAAGGCGGGTGTGAACCTACTTCAATTTCCAGTTACAGATAAAGGCAAGGATCATAGGATTCATCTTTCCTCCAAAACACTTTAGCCCCCTGCTTCTTTCACCCTTAGTATTGCTCCACAATATTTGCGGAGTTTAATTGAATGTCTGTGTATAGTCACAAGGCACATGGGTACCTTGCTTCTGCTCGTCTTACAGCTGATTCCAAATCAGAGGTAATGTGCAAACAGCTGCATACATAGAAATTGGTCTAAATGAAGGTAGCTGCTTTGCCCATGGCCGTTATACACACACCAGATAAGCACCCTCCCACCCCATATCCCATTTATTCTAGCTCCCAGACCACTGAGTGGCTGGCAAACCTCATCCCCACTGACCAAGTCACAGAGAGCTAATCCTGAGGCTTTATAAGGATGCTTTATAAGGATGAAGTACTAAGTCTGTAGTCTTCGGGATTATTTTTCCATGAAGAAGTGAGCACACACCAAGATCTGTGTTGGTATTGAGAATAAGTTGACATTTCTTGCTGCTTCAATCCTTTCCTCCTCGAATCTTTGCTGCTAGTTTCTGAGTTTTTTTCAACATGTTTACAACTTACAAGGAGCTGCGTATGTAAATGAAAATTACTGGAAAAAGCTACTTCATGTTTTAGGGAAAAGCATTTAAAAATAATCAATAAATAATGTGTCTTCAAAAAATACTTGTTCACATGTTTCAGTCTTGTGTGGCAGAAACCAAACAGAGCTGTTTTCAACCCAGCCACACCCTGGAGTGATGCAAGAGTAAATGAGACACAGACACGGACATGTTTCGGTTATGACTCTGGCCTGACAGTTCAGGATATTGCCCTACACTCCAACCGGATGTGGACCCACTGAGTGATAATTCAGAGGGTCTTCTCCACAAGATGCACAGCATGTCAGGGGATACGGGGCAGTTTGTCTCTTTTTTCCCCTTATGTATAGAAAGAGGTGGCCAGTATTTTTTTTGTTTTGTTTTTTTAAGTAGAGAAGTTATGTGATAAAAAAAAAAAAAGAAGTTATGTGACCAGAATTCATCTTTAGTAAGATGAATAAGGTGGTATGATGGGAAGAATTAAGGAGGGCTGGACAGGCAGACCTTAGGAGAAGTGTGAGTGGGACAAGTCAAGCACTCAGGGAGGAGGAAGCAGGTATAAAATGTTTCAGAGCAAGAATCAATAACTCTGGCTTCTTGTGTGAATGTGAGAGAGTGGGAAACAGAAGGTATAAACATGGCAGCTTCACAGTCTTTGAGCATTTACCATGTGCAAGCTTTTCAGATATCAACTCACCTAATCCTAACAAAACATAGAAGGTAGAAATTATTATTCACCTTTTCTGGGAAAGAAAACAAGGCACAAAGAGGCTAAGCCATTTGTTAACAGTCAATAGGATTTAAACCCAGGCAGGCGAACCCCAGAGCCTGTGTTCTCCACATTTTTTACACAGTCTCTTTTCCAGTCTGGGTGGCTCAGGAGATGGTGACATCAATGACTGACATGGGAAGTCAAGAAAGGAAGCAGGTGGGCACATATGTGGAGGCAGGGGGTGGCAGACAAGGTGGTATTTTGGACGTGTTCTGAGTGAGGACGTTCTGCCAGCACTTCAAGGGGAGATGTCCAGCAGGCTTCATGTCCCAGTGCAGAGAGGGAGCTGGTTTTCATTAAAAAGAATGAAACATCTGTAAAAATACTGTTGGCTAGATTTCCCAGTCAAGCTGTTCAAGAAAGGCTTCATGCTAGCAAACAGGAGGACCATGCTGCAGTTGAAGCTTTGGCCAGAGACTTAGAAAGAGCAGGTTCATCAACAAGGTGCCCCTGGACTACTATAAGCACCACATGGAGAAGTCTACAGAAGAGACCAGGACCAAGCCCTAGAAAGAGGACAAAGGAACAAATGTCCCTAAGGCTCCCGTCCTCATTGCAATGGGCCAGAGCTTCTATTGCTGACTGCCTATTACAATCCCAGAGGGAGCCTCAACCCAGAACCTGTTAAATCAGAACATCATGGGGTGGGCTCTCCAGGTGATTCTAGCATGAAGCTAGGGTGAAAAACCACATGGAAAGAAGGAGGAAGGTTTGTCTTTGGAGGAGATCATCAGAGAGCAGAATGAGTAATGACCAACATCTGCAAAGTGCTTTTTAGGTACTTTCTCTCCTAGTTCATAAAGCACTTTGCCCATAGGTGGGTGTTATTTAAGGAACATCTGATTGTTAGCCACTGATTGGATGGGGAAAACATGAATCAAAGAGAGAGATTACTTGCTCAAGGTCAAACAATTATTCACTAGAAAAGCCACAACTATAGTTCAGTGCTGCTGACTCAAAATTCAGGGCTCTTTGATAACACCATACAGGACAATACCACAGAGGAAAGGCCAAGTTCATCTGTCTTCATATATAAAGGTGAAGGTGTAGGTATTTTAAAAAGTAATCATGCTCCATGGGAACTTATCTAAAATAGAGCTGCAGTGTGTGTGTTAGAACAGAAAAGGGTGGAACAGCATGGATGAGACCACTCTGGGAAGCACTGGGAAGCCCAGATGGCCTGGTGGCCCTGGAGCAGCTAGTGGATCAGGCAGGGACACTGGGAACAGAGGTAGGGGGTGAGACACAGGGAGGAGGCTGGAGGGGGCTGCCACTCACTGCAGGCCTGGGGTCCAGACTCAAGCCCTTGGGCTACCTACAGCAGGTAGTAGTGGAAAGGGCAAATCTTAAAATGGAGGCATTTACCAGTTGGCAGGAATTCTTCTGACCCTTAAGGGACATATCATCCTACTAACCAAATAATAATTGCCTGCTCTTGATACAGAACTGTATAATTTAAAATGTACTTCTTTATATTAAATAGCTTCTTCCATTTTCACAATTGTTTGAAGTGAGCGTTATTATCCTTTCTCAGCAGCTTCCTGTGTAAAACTGATATAAATCCTATATGAGGTCTAACAAATGCCTAGCACAACATGGGGGGGCGCTCAGCAAATCCTAGCACCTTTGGTTTGCATCTTATGAATTTGGATGGTGAGACTCCCAATGTAGAGAACCATCTGGTGGCTAAGAGTGTGAGCTCCAGAGTCCAGCTAACTCCACTGAGTTGGTTACCCACATGAAGTCTGTTTCTTTGCATATAAAAGAGAGAGAGAATACCTGGACCTTTGTCATGTGGCTGTTGGGAGGACTAAATTAGATCATGCATGGAAAGTTCTTAGTATAGTTCCAGGCAAATAATCACTGTCCAATACTTATCCACAAGTTCTATTAAAACCCTAAAATAGTAGATGGGAAGTCAACACTGGAATTGAGGCTAGTGCTCTTTCTGCTACTCCCAGATGATAATGGACATTAACCCATGTGAGAAGGGAAAGGCTGCAGTTACAGAGGGCCAACTGCATTCCAGAGATGGGCATCCTGATGAAGCACTTCCCAGGGAAATGAGGAGGCTCAAGGGGTTAGTACATTCCCAAGGTCACAAATAGAGTCAAACTGACACCTCCAGACCCACAACCTTGGTCTACACCAATGGTCCTCACTCTAGCATATAACAGAATCACCTGGAGTCTTGTCAAAACTCACATTCCAGGTTCTTGTCCCAGAGTGTCTTGTTCAGTAGGCTTGGGCAGGACAGAGAATCTGCATTTTAACAAGTTCCAGGTGATGTCATTGTTGCTGGTTTAGGACCCTACCTAGAGAAACATCATGATGTGCTAAGCTGCCTGCTCAGTGAGATTCACTGTGATGAGAGAACTCTCACCTGCGGAAGCTCCAAGGAGAGCTCAGGGCTGCCCTGGGGTACACTGAAAAAATGTATCCCTGCTGAGCTTTTCAGGGCCTCATGGCACAACACCCACAGCCTTTTCAGATGGGAACAATTTTTGTCAGGCACAATCTATGACTTCAGAGTCAACACTCCAGTGGGTGTTTAATTATTTATTCACTTGACAGGGAACATACATTTGGTCCTACAAGACACCATGCTATAAGTTTATCTATTTGTCATTAAACAACAAAACTCATCTTGGCTCTTAGGAAGCCCTAGTATGGCCTACCAAGGACAACTCAATCACTGAAGGGTGGTGGTGGGGAAACAGTCTCCAAAATGGGACCTTTTAGACATTCTCCAGGCACCCCTCTGTCCCACAGCCTTTCAGAGCCACTACACACACACACACACACACACACACACACACACATACACACACACATCAGGCACTATCCAAATAATGGCCATGCTGGGACAAATGGGTGATATGAACTAGAAGATGATCTCAAAACCATAGGGTACCAGACAATTTATATGCCTTACAAATATATAAATTAAGAGGTCTACATGTATACAAAATCTTGCAAAGAGGACTGAATTCCATTCTATGTCATGCCAGGTATTTGTCAGAACCTTGAAAACACAGGTGGTTTTCAATGGAGCTGGTATTAAAAATAGAAGGCATTCATACACAGGCCCTGCTCCTCTCATGTCCACCATGAAATCCTCTGGTGTTGTCAGGGCCCCTGGGCAGCCTTAGCACCCCTACAGGTAACCCATCTGCAGTCTGCATCTTCCGAGACAACAGGGGACTTGCCCCAGGACTTTTTTCCTGTGTCCCCATCTCAGCTTGGCGGCGCCTCCGAACCCAGGGGCTGCCAGAGGGTGTGACGCTACTGTCAGAGGAGTAATCCATGCACTTGCGGAAGATCTCCGGACTGGTGCTAGAGTGCAGTCTACCTTCCTCAGCCAGTGGGGACTTTCTGGAAACACCTTTGCGTTGGGCCAAGGGGCTGCTCCAAGGACTTGAGCACGGGGAGGCATTTGGGCTCAGAAAGAGATTCTGGTGGCCAGAAGGGCTGAGCTTGTTGGTGACCACATGCCGTCGGCCAGCCATAGGAGATGTAGGATTGCTCTCAGGGTCAGAGGAGCTGTTGGCAGAAGACTCGTCCCCCATGTATTGAAGCTCCTCCACCCTCTTGTTCAGGGACCTGTTCAGGTGGATGCTGGCAGAGGGCTCCTCATCATGGTTCTTATCTTTGGAAGGTTTCTTTTTGGGTGGTTTCATACCAATCAGGACAGCTTTCATGTTTTCTTTCCCCTGAGATTCTGTGATCATAAATTCGTGGGCTTTGATAGCTGCTTCTACCTCCTCAAACTCCACAATAGCGCACTCTTGGGTCCCCACCTGGCTGTACCGGCTGCTGATCCTCCGAATATCAGGGGGCAGCTCTCTTCCAGGTTTGAGGATCCTCACTGACGAGATAACTCCAAAAGTCCCAAAGAGCTTGAGAAGATTTTCCATCACCTTCTCCTGCACTCTTCCATTCTTCTGGGGGGTGGCCAGAGCCCACAGCTTGGAGGATAAGTGTAGATCATAGACCAGGAGCATCTTGCTGGGAAGGTTCTCGTTTGGAAACAGTGGGACGGGAGTGGTCCTCCTCACCTTCCGATGGTCCTCATTCAACTCAAGGGTCACTGAATACTTCAAGGCATGTGCTGTGGTTCTCCAGTCCCGTGTGAGATGCTTCACCTAAAAAACATACAGCAAACCTGAAATGGTACCTAATGTCCTTGTCTACATTTAAGCATACTGAATTTCCTTCCTTCTCTCCCTCATGCCTGTAATACTAATATCTAGACTCATACCTGACTGCGTGGACACTCAAATATCTGATGAATGGAAACACTTTCTACATCTACATCAGGCAGCACAGTTTAGAGCTGTCCAACAGGACATTCCATGACAGTGGAAATATTTAATTCTGCGCAAGTGTACAAGTTAAACCTGTAGGTTGGATCAAGGCTGTTGTATATATAGATCTAAGGCTCACCTCCAACTGGCAACAAGACCTCAACAGTCAGCCTCTTAGTGCCTCAGCTTCCTCATTTGTAAATTGGAAATGTTAGTAGTGTCTACCCCAAACAGGTATCATGAAGATTGAATGAATAAAAATACACATTTACACATAAAGACGCACACCATTACATGTAAAATTTAGACTAGTGCCTTGCTCCCAGAGAATATTCAGTAATCATGTGCTGGTTTTATTTCAAATTTTAGGTGCTATTGTTTTGATAGGACTTGGAGATTGTGACATTCAAACACTTCTCTGAAGTCGTATTTCTGCATTTGATACAGAGAAGGTCCCAAAAGATCTTCTCTATTTCTCTGCAATATCTCTGGAAAATGACATGGACTGCTTCAACTGGGACTTAAATCCAGCTTAAGCCTCTTAAAGAATGATGAAATAATCCCTCCCTCCCCCTCCCTTGATGGAAATTGTGCATGTTGATGTTGCAGTATATGAAAGCTATATTTATATTGTAAAACAGTAATTTTCTAGAGGCCCACTTCCGGTGAAGGGAAAGCCAGGGAGAATGAATCATCCCAAAGAAACAGTGAAGGTGGGTGGGGTAGGTGACCTGAGCCAAGAGTGGCGAAATAGAGTCCTCTGAGGCCAGGCCAGTGAAGCTGCTCTGCAAAGGAATTGGGAACTCCAGGTGCCCCTAAGCCTACAGCAGAAACTTCATGGAAATCAAGAAAGGAAGGCTCACTTAACTGGGTGGGACAGAGAAACCACGGGAGAACCTGAAAATGGACAGGCTCTGGACTGAGAGCACTGTCCACTCTACAATGTCCCTTTGGAGGAAATGGCCAGACTTAGGCTTATGTTGCAGGAATCACAAATCATCTACACACAGAATCAGTGGGGTGATCACTGTGACACGGGCCAAGGAGAAGCAGGCTTAGGTGTGAAAAAGATGATTGCTGGTCATGGTGACGTTGTGGGAAAGCCAGGCAATGGCTCTATTGGGGTGAGACATGGTGGAACCTTTTCAAAAAACTGTAGGGAGGGTACACTTCAGAGAGAAGAAGCAACTGCCTCCTAAGCCTGAAGTCTGAGTAAGGAGTACTTGGGGGAAGGCAAATGCTGCCTTACTCAGAGGGCTGAGAAGTTTGTGGAAGACCACATCCTAAGGAGGGAGAAGCAGGCTCTGGCAGAACCACGGGCCTCAGAGCCAGCAGCACGGTCCTCTAGGAAAGCTCTGTTAGAGTCGGAGCATCCTAGGCCTGTGTACTGACCTGTTACTAAGAGTGTCCAGGTACCTCCTTAGAAAAGGAACCAGGCAGCTTCTACCCTTGTGCAATTTCTAGAAGAACTCTACAAGATTTTCAGAAACTTTATAATTTTCTTATGTTTACAACCTTTGTCACATGCTTCCCATTATGATTAGCAGGAAACCCTTTGAATGAATACGGTGTTAGTTTTTATTTAAGGGGTGTTAGGGCATCTGTCTGTATTCTGTAGCTGATTTTCAACAGAGAAGAACATTCCTGAATAGATCCACAAATGGAAGCTTAAAAAGGAAAGAAAAACAGGCTGGCTCTTGAGGTCCCTGGGGAGCACTAAAGGAATGTGCAGGGCAGTTCTACTGGAGGCTTCATTTTGGGATCCCTGGCAAACATTTTTCATGGGAGAGCTTTCTCACTGTTCTCTGGACATGCAATTCCTTTCCCCTTCTCCTGTCCCCTGAAAACTCCTGCTCATCCTCCAAGATCCTATCCCAATCTCACACCCCTGGGGAGAGTTCTCGATTCTCCAAGCAGGGTTATTTGCTCTGATCAACTAACTCCTAGCAATACTTTCTTCAGTCTTTTGTAGAACGGGTTCTGTGGTAAAATGCCACAGGTCTCTCTTCTTTATTGAATGGTGAGCTTCTCAAGGGCAGAAAGAATACCATATTCATCTTTTTTAAAAAAAAAAATTTGTAGTTGTTGATAAACAGATGCCTTTATTTTATTCATTTATTTTTATGTGGTGCTGAGGATCAAACCCAGTGCCTCACGCATGCTAGGCAAGTGCTCTACCACTCAGCCCCAACCCCAAATTCATCTTGTACCTCCTGTACATAATATGGCACTCAGCAAATAGAATGATAAATGAATAAAGAAGAGATAGAGATAGAGATAGATAGATAGATAGATAAGAGCACACTCGTGGGTGAGGCAGAGAAGGGCTCTAAGGAGCGAAGCTCCTCCCCAGTGCTCTCTGACAAAGTGCACAGGCAACTTGGCTAGGACCCGCTCGTTACACAGCCCATTATGCAACAGGCCGTGTGGTTCTTTTCCATTCTAGTAAATACACTTGCCCCAAGGGAGACATAGAGTTCTTACTCCAACTGGTCTGTCAACTCCCTGAGAAGCAGGGAGTTCAGAGTCCAAATGCTGGGGTAGGCACAACAGGGACAAGCAGTCTGCTGCTCAGTTTCAGCAGTTCTTAGACATCCCATCTCTCTGTGGTATAGGTGAGGACCTGGAGTCTTGGAGAGGCTCAGCTCCCTGGTTCTGGGTGCTCACTCTCTCCCTTTTCATATTCAACTTGACAAATGAAAAGCCTAGATTGTGTGTAATTCTAGGCTCTGGATATCTGTTAAGGCCTTCAAGTGCCCCTGCCCTGGTGCAGCCACCTCCTGGGCACTCAACTATGAACAAGTCACAGTGTTTCATAACTGGACAGCTGAGACTTGGCCCAACACCCAGGACCCTTTTCAGAGTGTGCAAGTATATTGTTAATAATGACCCTAAATCCATTCTGTTCATCATTTTTCTAATGCCTCAGAGTCAATAAAAAATGGCCGGTCAACAGGGTTCTAGGGAGGCTTAAAAAAAAAAAAAAAAGGTGACTGCCACAACCCCCAGCACCCTTGAGATCCCAGAAGTGGCTTCTGAGGATCCACCCCACCTTCTTAAAGGAGGTAAGCAGCTTGACGCTCACGTAGCCCAACTTGTTCCTCCTCACGTGCTTCAACAGGAAGGCGTCCTTCTCCAGGTTTTCATCAGAAAAGTAGAATTCTATCTGAGCCACCAGTTTCTTGATGAGCTCCTCATCCGGGGGCTTCCACTCCTGCTCCAGGTCCTCGTGTTCGTTCTCGCCCCCACTCGTAGTGGTGCTGCTGAGGCCAGAAAGAGACACTGAATTAGGGGTGGAACTGGGCCCTCTAACCACCATTCCTAGGTGAAGTCCTAGCCTACAAGCTCAGAAGTTGGTCTTATTTGGAGATGGGGTCATGGCAGAAGGAATCAGTAAAGATGAGGTCATACTGGAGTAGCATGGACCCCTGATTCAATATGACTGGGGTCCTTATTAAAAGGGCAGATATGGACACTGACGCACACAGAGAATGTCATGTGCAGGTGGAGCAGAGGTGGGGGTAATGCAGCAGAAACCAACATCAGCACAAGCTGTTCTTGGAAGCTGGGAGAAAGCCTGGAACAGACCCTTCCCCAGCACTTTGAAGAGGAAGCACAGCTCTACAGACACCTTGGCTTCAGACTCTGGGCGTCCAGAACCACGAGACATCGCGTGCCTGCTGTTCTAAGCCACCCAGTTGGGGGCTCTTTGTCATGGCGGCCCTAGGTACCGGGACTAGGTTATGCCCTACCTGGGTTCCTCAGAGGCACTGAGTGAACTAGACTCCTCAAGTAGCCATAAAAGGTTGGGTTTTGTCTCCAAACACCTAAAAAATCAAGCTTTTACCGAGTGTGGAGGATCATTATAATAACAACTCCCACTCTTGACATTCATGTGTGTTCTGCCATCAGCCAAATGCTTTTCACACAGACTTCTTGTTCTTCCCTCTTCACTGTGCCCACCCTCGAATCCAGTAGCTGGGAGACAGTGGGGCAGAGTAACTTGGTCCTGTAACAAGATCCTCCCCACTGGTTACAAAGAGAAACTTGGTTTCTTAGCTCACTGGGGACATAATTTATTCCTTTGTAGCCATCTGCTCACTGTCTCTGAGGAATCCAGTTTGGATGTGACCCAAAGTAGAGTCAAGGACAGATGCTTTGGGGAATATGTACCTTAGAAATGGGAGGAGAAAGAGGCGGCCAAAAGACACATGGGCAGAAGAATCATCAAAGTAAAGTCACCTAAGCCCAGGAGGGCAGAGAGCATCAAGAAGGTGGTCAACAGTGCCAGATTCCGCAGCAGGGCAAGAAGACCACGATGGAGAAGAGGCATCTGAATGTGATAAACAAGCTCTTTGGTGATGTCTCAGGCACAGAACAGGTGGGCAGAGGAGGTGTGCCCCGGGGAGATCTGCACAAGCCTGGCCGGACAGACCTCCTCTTCTCAATCCAGTCTGAGACAGGTTCACCTTTGGTGAGGAAAGCAGGCATGGGAGACCTGAGGAGAGCCGGGAGGCCCCAGCATAGGCGCCAGTGGGACCGAGAGAGCACACTGCCTTCTTCCTGGCACGTCTTACTTGTGGGAGTTCAGCTTTTACACAGCACTGACTGCTGTTATTTGGGAGTAGGATGTACTGGTGTGAGGGTCACTTTTGCTGCCGAGTTACCTCTGATAAATGAGGCATTTGTAATAAGCTAAATCATTATACCAATATCCCCAGTCCACCTCAAACTCTCCACTCCCCATCATCACCACCCTAGCCTGTCCTCTGCTAATCTACTCACATCCTTATCAGCTGGCCTCAGAATTCTCTGTGTGTTTGTAGTTATTTTATCTGGCTTACTCTCCACTGATGTCCAAAATGAAAATTTGGGGTCACTTATGTCCCCAAATCCCTTCTTTAATTTTTAAATTTTTATTTTTCAGTTTTCCATTAGCCTTCTATTTGTTTTAAATGATACATTTAACATGGCTTATTATTCCATCAATCTTTGTTTTTTTAATTATTCTTCACCATACACATGTGCATACTATTGGCCTACCTTTTCCTCTACCACTCCTTCCATGTCTAACTCTCCAAATTAAATCAGATGTACCTTTATTTCATTTTGCTGTGGTTCATAATATTTCATTCTATTCTCTAATATTCCATGTTTTGTCTACAGATAGATACTAAAAATTAAAAGCTCATCCATTTTATTTTATTATTATGAATATATCAACATGTACCATTCAGGGAAAATCATTTACTAAAATTATATTTCTCTTCTTAAAGTCCTATTAGTTAACTGCACCTGAACTGATCTCTTACATGTACCTTTTCTCTCATGTTATCCATCTTTGCCTTTGTCTTTGATTTACATGCTAAGAGATTTCATGGTATTATCTTCTGACTTTTCCTAATGAATTTTAAAATTTCAATATTTATTTAGTCTCTAAGAACTCTTTTTGGCCTTCAGATTGTTCCCTTTTAAGAGCACCTTGTTCTTTTTTTTGTTCATGCAGTGGCTTAAATTCTCTCAGGATACTAATTGAAGCATGGATCTTTTAAACTTGTTTGTTTCTAACACCATCAACTCTGTGTCCTCTGGAGTCAGTTCTTCCATTTAACTTTCATGCCACTGATAGCCATCATGTGATTAGTAAGCAATTCATTTTTTTTTCTGCATTTAAAATCTTCAATAAACTATTTTCAAAAAAATATTTTAGAACACTTTTAGATTTACAAAAGAGCTATAAAAATAGTATAGATAGGTTCCCATATACCCCAAATTAGGCTTGCCTATCACTAACATCTTACATTAGTATGGTACGTTTATTACCATTAATGAACTAATAATTCTACATTATTATTAGCCAAAGTCTATACTTCGTTCAGATTTTTCAGTTTTTACTTATGAGATTCTATCCAGGATAATATATTACATTTAGTTGTCAGGTCTCCGTGGGCTCCCCGGGCTGTGAGTTCTCTGACTTTTCTTGTTTTTGATGATCATGCAGGCATTGCAAAGTACTGATTAGCTAATTATAAAATGTCCCTCAATTGGGATTTCTATGATGTTTTTGTTAGGATTAGATTAGGGTCACAGGATTGGGGAGAAGGACCATAGAGGTAAAGTTCCATGCTCAGCTACATCATATTAGAGTACAAAGTATCAATCAAACTTAGTAACAGTGGATAGTAACCTTGGTCACCGGTCTGATGTGCTTTATCTACAGCAAAATTACTCCTTTTCTTTCTATACTATATTCTTTGGCAGAAAAATCACAACATACAGCCTCCACGTAAGGAAAGGGAGTTAAGCTCCACAGCTATTAATTTTGAAGAATTAACGTCCAGGTTGCCTTTTCTTGGCAGGGTGGATGGTTTTATGCTCCTATTGATTTTGTTTTTCTAGGTGGCCCTCTGTATTTCATGGGTGGGGCATGCCAAGTGGCAGGCTTCTCTTTAGGGTGAATAGGCAAGAACTCATTCAGTTGGGGTCTTCCACCTAAAAGAAGGCTTTACTCTGCAGCTACCAGCTACCAGTTTTACTTTAACACCAGTACATTCAATTCCTTTAGAAAAGAGTCTTCTTTCTTTTCTCCTCCTTGAAAGTAAATGATATGTTGCCTGCTACTTTTCATTGGCAGGCAGAGAGGCTGGGAAATGGTTCTAAAGGAAGAATTTAAATTACCTCTCAGATATTTGCATCTCTTTTTATTCTTGCATCCTTCATATATTTCCCAACCAGAGCCTTTCTAGAGTTCTGACTTCCCACCTCCCACCTCCTCTCGTGTTGTATTTTTGGGCTACAGCCGCCTCCATTATGTGCCATGTTACATATTTTAAAGGACAGCTATTTACTTTACTTTACTGCTTTACTTTAACAATAATAATAGTAGTAGTAGTACTAATAATGAAAGGTTTTTCTATTACCTACTAGATGAAATCTAAAGTCCTTAACTTCATATTCAGATCCTTTTAGAATCTGGCTGTACCTAGCTTCTACACTTCCCATCTATCTGCTTTCAGATCCTCTGCTCCAAGCAAATAGAAAGATCACAGTTCCCTGTGTCACAAATTACCCAGACTCTCTGCCTTGGTGTGTTGTTCCCATCTCTGTGAATGCCTTGTCCTCTGTGAATAGTTGTATTGTGGCTACTTGTATGCATATCTTATTAGCACCGTGAACCCTAAGCTGAGGGTAGGATTCATATTGCCTCCTTCCATTCTTTTCATTTATGAAAAACATTCTACAACCATTCCAGAGCCTTGTACATAGTAGGAATTTTAAAAGAATGAACAAAATAAAACAAATAGGAGTAAATCATACCTACCAGGATTCTTGGAGGAAGGAAGTACGGTTACTGGTAAATACGTACTTTACAGGTTTTCAAAAAGACTTCAAAAAGCTTTACACCTAAGTATTGGTTTTTCTTTTTTTAAAAAAATACATAAATGGGAGTGATTATGAAATCTTGCTGTTATTACTATATGTCTGCTAGAAAAGGACACAAAGAATAGAAGAGGACACATTTCAAAACAGGTAACTGGGTTCCATGGATCAGTGCTAAAATATTCATGATATTTGTAAATGATTTGGAAAAACAAAAATGATTTGTAGCATAACACCTCTAAAGATCTCATGTTAAACTGGGTATGTTGATTGATTCAAATGAAAATGTTGGGATAATGAGATTCTCACTGACTTTTGACCTAGGAAAGATTTCTTGAACTTATGTCTATCCTATCACATGGTCTAATACAGTATTTGGCCCCTAAGAATAGGAAAATGATGGTTAGCAACAAGGATATTGAACACAAAGGAGAAATATCATTTATGAAAAACACTAGGGTTCAGTGTGAAGTTTCTTTTGACTCACTTCTAGAATAAGATAACGAATCAGAAATGGTCCAAAAGAGCAATCAAGTTGATAATGCAATATAAAAACAAGAGGGCAGATTCAAAAGGTAAAGGTTCTGGAATGGAGGTGTACTTCAGTGATGGAGCACTTGCCTAGCATGTACAAGGCTCTGGGTTCATCCTCAGCACCACAAAAACCAAAACCAAAAAAATAAGGCTCTTCAGTGAGACAGGCTGAAAACATTTAGGTATGTTCTCAACTTCGGAAAAGGCATCACAGGAACAATCACATTAGATGCCACTAACAGAGTCCACATTCTGTTTGGGTGGCCCGAAAGTTCTCCCATCAAAGAAAAGAGCAGGAAGTGATGGAGATTATGGAGATCATGACCTTCCTTTCTAACCATGTCTTCAG